CAGTCTGCTTTGTCGGGCTTATGTATCAGTTTACCACCGAAACGAATGAGGGAATCTTAGAGGGGCTGGTTGGCTTACTAGCAGAGCTGAACCTTAGACCTTTTGCACGTGAGCGCCGCTTATCGCTGAGTCATGCCCTCCAAAACCAGAAAAAAGGCAGGTGAAAAAAAAGAAGCTAGTCGAATGAAAAATTCGATAGCTGAAAAACGAGAAAAACCACAGCGGAGCTCTTACTAACTGCAGAAACAGCTGCTTGACGTAATTCGGACGCATTCAAATTCGAGCCATCCAGCACAGCACTTCGTAAATTTGGCGCAGACTTTGACTTCGGAACGAACAATTCGTCATCTGAGCTCTCTTCATCCTCCTCATCCTTCAGATCATTTATATAACAAACCTGCAAACAGCCAAGAAACGCGTAGAGCCCAAACACATGCTAACGGTAGGTCGGGCTACTATCTCTCAGTGTATTATACTTTGAATGAAAAATGGATGCACTGGGAAGCGATCGAGAAAAAGCACTGTGCTAACAGCGACCATCTGTTGGTAAAATGTTCACAGGCTACCTTCTAAACACTGTATGAGAAGGAAGTTGAGAGCGATTTAACTAACTTACTGCTCATAGCTTCAATAAACCATAAAGAGATAGAAAAATAGAAAATTTTTCTGTCAGAAGAATCTCTCAGCTAGTATTTTCACTTCAGCAGACGAAACGAACGTTAAGGCCACCGAAGACTGACCATCAGGCGATGCAGCATTGGCCAAAGCAAGTGGAAGGGTAAGCTGACCAAATTTTTCCAGAAAAATCAATCAAAAAACCATCCATAATTCACTTAGTATGAGAGCGCACAGGCACTCGAAAGTAGTTCGAATGGCAGCAGATGGCGCGAGTAATCACACACTGGCAAAACCGCACGTTTCCAATGGCCTTTTTCACAAGAAGAAAATAAATAAAGAAAGAAACTGCATAAATAAACAAATATGAACCTAAGATTTTTTAGGTTTTATCACATGGATGATATTATTTCAAAAGTAAAAAACTTCATAAGGAATATGCCGCCCCAGCAAAGTAGGAGAATTATGAGCCAACTAAAACAGGCTAATTGCTTGAATAATTTTAGAAGCCAGACAAGAGACCATAATACAAATTTCTTATCGAATTCAAGCATTACCTGTAAATTCATTGCTGTTTGCAGGCGAAAGCCAAGGTTAGATCTCGATGGCCTCGTGTAGATTCGAGGCGCTGGTCCTGCTGTATACTGATCCACTTGAAGCGCTAGACGACGTCGCACCTATTAAAAATTGCCCAATAATCAAAATTCATCCAGAAATGGAGTAAATTTGTTTTTCTGAGGATTTTTTCCCGAACCTCCAGGAAAAGTTTTAACAGATGTTCCATCTTTACATGCTCTTTACACGCACATTTTTGCATGTTTTAGTATCATTTTGAAAAGCGATAAAAATAACATTTATGCAAAAAGAAATTTCTTTTTTTACGAAAGTTTTTTTTGGCAAATTTCCTACTGTTTCCAACAGGTTTTTTTTGTTAGCGAAGCTCCAAATATCCAAAGATTAAATAGCTGAAACAGAAAAGAGAGGAATA